GTTGTTGATGGCACATTCTGACCCTACCTGCCTAATGTCGCAGCAGAATTCGAGACTCATCAGACCAGGCAACGTTTTTCCATTTCTATTGTCCATTTTTGGTGAGCCTTTGCAAACTGTAGCCTCAGTCTCCTGTTCTTAGCTGACAGGAGTAGCACCTGGTGTGATCTTTTGCTGCTGTAGCCCATCCGCCATCCGGACATGTTGTGCATTCAGAGATGCTCTTTTACATACTTTGGTTGTAACGAGTGGTTTTATCTTTCTATCAGCTGAAACCAGTCTGGCCATTCTGCTCTGAACTCTGGCATCAATAAGGCATTTGTACCCACAGATCTGCCGCTTACTGGATATTTCTCTTTTTCTAACCATTCTCTGTAAACCCTAGAGATGGTTGTGCATGAAAATCCCAATAGATCAGCAGTTCCTGAAATACTAAGACCAGTCCGTCTGGCACCAACAACCATGCCACGTTCAAAGTCACTAAAATCACCTTTCTTCCCCATTCTGATGCTCGGTTTGAACTGCAGCATATTGTCCATGTCTACATATTAAAAATATGTGTTAACGAGTCGTTGGACAGGTGTACCTAATAATGTGGCCGGTGAGTATATGTAGGAATCAGAGAAGATCTTTATATTAAGAAACACTTTTTTTTTTGTCTTTTTCTTTTTTGGGAAAATAGAGATTTTACAACTGTTGAGTTGACAGCATTACTAGATCTGAATCTATTGACCTGATCTCCAGGCCTGGCGGGAGCACTTTTAGCTTAGATTAGCATAAATTATTGCATCAGATTAGATCATTAGGATCTTGCTCAGAAATGACTAAGGAGTTTAGATAATCTTCTTATTTAAAACTTGATGAAGAATGGGTGTTGTTCAGTAGTTTAAGGAGAACTTAAGGAGAACTAATACATTCAAAGGTTTATTTGTGTTTATGTTCCACTATATTAGTTCACATGTATTTATTATGCTATTGGGTTATCAAATCAAATCACTTTTGTTGTCACATTATCAGTAGCACATGTGCTATGATGAGTGAAAAGCATACAGACAGTGCAAATACAACATTCTACTCTTTAGTCATTTAGTCATGGGTTACATTCTACTCTTAGTCATGTCGGGTAACTGTATGTTTACCTATGACAGACGTCTTTGCGGTTGGGTCATGTAATTTACAAGGAAACAAAACTTTAACATCAGAATATTTACTCCTTATATTGCGATATGAAAACAGTTTCAGTTTCTTATACGGTTTTCTGGGGGGTCTAACAGTATTCAGGTACAGAAATTGAATAATCATTATGCAAAACTGTGCTTCTTTTTTACTCTGCTTTGTCTCATTTCTATTCCAAATATAAAAACAAATCTTAGATCAAGTAAAAATATTGTTTTGTTTTGTTTTAGATGAAATAAGGCAAAATTAAGAGTTTAATAATAAGTTAAATACTTAGTTTTCTCTTTGAAATTGAGATAGTTGGACCAGAAACAAGGACAAAAACTTTAAGTTAGAAAAACATTTTTGTTATTGCATAAATCATATAAATACAGTGATTAATTACAATTCTGTGGCTCCTGGTCAAGTATAATCCAGATTTAACATTGCATATCTTTGCCATGAGACTATTGCGCATGTGCACATTGTGATAGAGATGCTGAAAAGATATATTGTGCAGCCCTATTTGAAACCATATAAATAAAGTGTTAAATGATATTGAAAATTCATTTATAATTTAAGCACAATCGTTTCAAAAACATTTACTGCATTTTTAAAACACCGTGACATGCACAAGATGTGAATGCATCAGTCAAGCATGTTTATCAGTGCATGATTGCATAGAAAAAGAATGGAAAGTGGCACACTAAAATGCAGAGCACGATCTCTGTGAATTGCCCCTTCTGGCAATATTGGGTCTAAAATGTAAGTTCCCCAATATTAACTTCTTGTTTACTGAGCTGTCATATAAGAACATCAATCTCCACCTCCAACCATCCCCATCTGCATAGCCGCTCGCGTCTCAGACAAAGAGCTCAAGTTCTCAGATGCACTGAGACATTGATGCCACGACGGCATTCAGCTCACCGTCCAGATGGATTTTATTCCGTATAGCATCATTAGAGCGGCTCATCTGCATGGGCTGAGGACTACATTAGGCTCGCAGCACTGTGGGTGTGCTTAAAGAGAGGAAGGTAATTAGTTCCTACTCTCCTCAGCAGGCAGTGGATGGATGACATGCTCATCATGTCTAAATGTACAGTGTGTGCTTCTGGAATACTAAAGCTCTTAAAACACTTCCACTTCTATCTCTGCGTTCTGTAATCTCCTCATTTATAAGCCCCGGTCCACCTGAATCTGTCTTCATTCATTAAAGGCCAGATATCTGGGGCTCTCTCCACTCTTACTCTGAAGAGCTTTGGCCTGGAATAGCTCTTAAAGGTATTTGATTTCCAAGAGGAGTGAATCGAGGGAATGTTAGGCTGGAGCTCCATGATGAATATTGAGCATTTCTTACATTTCACTCAAGACATAAGATGGCATCCCAAATGATGCATTTCTGTACTTGTGATGCATTTGTGGATTTGTTGTTTCCTCAATAGCCTTTAAGCTAGTCCTGCTCATGTCAAGATCTCTGGTGACAGTTATTGTCTATAACTTCCAACAGCAGAATCATCACACTGTTTTTAATTAAACGCTCAACTGCTGTTTCACCATTTAAGTTAACATTTAGATTTGCATTTAAATGTCTGTTTGCAGGTGCACGCAATTGTGTTCTATTACAAACATCATGATACTTTGTTTTTGCAGTCCAAAGCCTGGATTTGAATAGATTTAATGCAAAACACAATTGCTTCATGATTTTAAGTTTTTGAATTATATGACAAAAGCTACAGTGCATTCGGAGAGAAATCATAACGCTTTACTTTTTCCACTTTTTTTGTTACAGCCTTATGTGATTTTTCAGGTTTTTTTGATTTTTAATAAATTTGCAAGAATTTCAAAAAAATATTTTTCACATTCACATGTCATTATGGGGTATTGTGTAGAGCTTTGAGGAAGAAATAAATCAATTAAATCCGTTTTGGAATAAGGCTGTAACATAAAAAATGTGGAAAAAGTGAAGCGCTATGAATATTTCCGCATGCACTGTATATAATGCATTACATAGGCTAACTTCTAAAACATCCAGTAAATTTCACTTTCAGATCAAATGGTGAAAAGTAATATTTTTATAAAGAAATTTGGATCAAATCAGTTCAATTTATTTAAGTATTTGAGTGAGCAAAAGAGGTGGACAATCATGATTTTAATTTTTGTTTGCATATGTGGCGCTGGACCACAAAAAGCACATGTCTTTTGTTTCACACGTATATTATTGCCAACAGACAAAATTACTTTATTATATGGTTCAAAATTATTGATTTTCCTTTTATGCCAGCATGTTCAAGATTTTTTGTACATTTCCCACTGTAAATTCTATTCAGTCTCATTGGTAACACTATAATAACTACATACTAAAAATCATTTTTAAGCATTAGCACATAGTGAATTCATTATTTGTTAAGCATTAACTCTAAATTGATAGACGTTAGTCAGCAGTTTATAACTGCCGATACACTCTCAGAAATAAAGGCACGCTTGCTGTCACTTTGGGTGGTACCTTAAAGGTCCATAATAATACCTCAAGGGTATAGCAGTACCTAATGTACAAAGATTTTTTTGGTACTAATAAATGCTTTTGAGGTACCAATATGGACCCTTTAAGTACAAATACCTTTTGAAAAGGTACCACCCCAGTAACAGCTTGCGTACTTTTATTTCTGAGAGTGTACAAATACTCTATTTTTGACTTATAAGCACATTTAAAATTTACTTTATAACTGTACTTTCATACTTTGTTACTGATTCATTTTTATGAATAAATTAAGTATCCTATTATTTACAAATCATTTGTATTTAAAAGTAGTTTTGGGTTTTTAAGATTATTCAGAATGAGTTAGTAAATGATTAATAAACAATTCAAATCAACATTTATTATATTATTATTCAGGCAAATATTCATATTTAATTTGTATGTTAATAAATGCTTTATTAACTCAACATCCAGTTTTGTGACCTAATCTAAAGTGAGGAATATTTATGCTTCATAAATCCCTTAAACATCCCCCAAACTCGGTCCTGGAGGGCCGATGTCTTGTAGATTTTAGCTCCAACTTGCCTCTACACACCTGCATGAATGTTTCAAGAAAGCGTAAGAGCTTGATTAGCTAGCCCCAATGTGTCTGATTGGGGTTTGAGCTAAACTATGTAGGACACCGGCCCTCCAGGACCAAGTTTGGGCACCTCTAATGTAGAGTTAATGCTTAACAGATAATGAAATAACTTTGCTAATGCTTAATAAATGTGCATATTGTGTAGTTATTATAGTGTTACCAACAAGAATGAGCTGAATTAAATTTACAGTAGGAAATGTAGGCCTACAAAAAAATCTTGAACATGTTGGTATAAAGGAAAAGGAAAATTTATCTGTTTATTTTATATATTATTATATTAGTATATTATTTAGCACAATTAAAAAAAATCTTTAAGTGCTTCACAATGTCAGAATTTATTTTTATCATATATAAAAATAAATGTAAATATATTACAACTAAACATGTTGGGTTAGTAATGTGTATTGTAAAGACTGCATTTAGACAGTGTTAACATTATAATTGTCTCAACATTTATATATTTTTTAACTTTTGAAATCCAGATTTTTAAACACAATTTCAGCCAAATATTGGCAAATTCTAATAAAGGATATCATCAATTGCTTATTTATTTAACTTTAATGTTATCTAAAGATGTCAATTTTGGAAAATTGTACTGAATTTGTGGTGCAGGGTTATCCTACATAAGATGTTGTTTGATGCTTTGTGTCTATGCAATGAAGTATATGCTGGTGTCCTATTTGCAGTCATTGACCAATTCCGTTTGTCTCTGTATTTCTGTGTTTCTAGGAGTATAACATCTATGGATGGTGGGTCGGTGAGCTAGATGGTGCCATCGGCATAGTTCCCAAAGAGTTTTTACACCCTGCTTATATTCTATGAGGTATTTATTTTTCACACCGCCATTCCCCGTAATTACTTACTCTGGATAAACAAGATACCGAGAGTGAGAAATACACGTAAACGGTTAACGTGTTACACTGTTGCTGTCCAGTTGATCAGTTTCTAGAATAACTTGAGCATTAACGCCAGCTCCTCCATGCTGACACCTGCTGGAGATGACTGAAATTACAACAGGGTTTCTACAGGTTTCATCAAGTGAAGACTTGAGACCTTTTTGAGTCCATTATGAATGAAATTACAGACGTACACAAGGCTGATCAATCCATAATGGTATATAGAGTTAATAAATAAACTTTTATTGAGATGGAGTGTTTGTGATTGGATGTGTTGAACCGATTGGGTAGCTTTAGATTGACATAGGAAAATTAAGACCTGTTTAAAATGATTTAAGAATTTTTAAGGTCTAAAATGTAGTTTTTAAAACGTAAGATACCCTTTACATAGACATTAATTACAAAAGATTCATTCTTTTAGAGCATGTTGTTCAAACCAGTGTTCATTTCTGTTTGTCTTTTTCTAGGTTTGCTTTGTTGCGAAGATCACAGAAGCAAATGTCTTCAAAGTTTAAATGAATTGCATTTTAGTTAATAGACTAATAATAATTAATAGAAATGTTTAAACTTAAAAAAAAAAAGCTCTAATAGTTATCCAATCTGAGAACTAAGTGTTTTTGTGAGTAAGCCTTTTATTATTTATGTGTGTACACTAAAAGGCTTATTATTGTCCAAGTCTAGTTTTCTGATTTATTCAAATACAAGACACACAGACACACACACAATTGATTTCTACAATACTGTTGCAAACTGGTTGAATTCAAACTAATTTGATAATGTTCAAATTAATTTGTTTAAATTCAGCTCAAATCAATTTACATCCACTACTATAAAAAACATAAATCGTTATTAGGAATCATCTTTGAATATTTTCTTCAGTGCATTTATGCAAATAGTGTACATATGAAAACCATTTGTAGCATGAGAAAGTCATTTTAGCAGTTCTCATTTACTGTTATATAAAGACAGTGCTTTATCAGCAATTACTAAATATAATTTTATAAATAATTTAGATTAAGACAGAATCTTGAAATATCCTTAAATCCTGTTTTATTTTTTTTTACTTGACTCTGCACTTAAAAGTTGTAGATCAGATGCAGTACCAGCCAATTCAGCACGTACATTCCCTGACATAAGTCTCATTATTAATCCCGATGTAAGAGCAACAAATAACTTGACTTCTCGTTGATCATTTGGAAAAGTAGTAGAAGGTAGATTTAAACCAATGAATTATCTGTTTAACTGCATCCCAATCATCACAAAAACTGCAGACCTATTGGAACCTGCACCTAGGATTCTCACAGAAATTCCAGGATTGGCCAGCCCAGTCTCCAGACATGAACATTGAGCATGTCTGGGGTAAGAGGGAGGAGGCATTAAAGATGAATCCAAAGAATTCTGATGAACTCCTGCGGGAACGATTTCTTTGCCTTTCCAGATGACTTATAAAATTATTTGAGTCATTGCAGATGTGTGGATGCAGTCCTCCAAGCTCATGGCGGTCATATACAATATTCTTTCTTTTACCACTGCACCATGACTTTATATTCTATACTGCACATTATTTCTGTTAGGTGACAAGACTTTTGTCCAAGCAAAGTCAGACCTTACTGTCCTAATTAAATAATTAAATATCAAGACATTTTGGTAAAATAAGCTTAATCTAGAGGCCTTTGCCTTTTATATAAAGCACTTGTGATACCAAATAGTCATGTAGAAGTCAAGTTAATATTTATTGTTCCTAAATCTTGGCTAGGCGACAAGACTTTTGTCAGGTAGTGAATAACTCCTAGAGAAAAATACCCATCATACAAGTTTCTTTTTGTTAGCAAAAAGCTAATTAACGAAATTTTACATCTTACGCTTGTTTTTTTTTGGTTGTTTGAATACATGCAGCACACAACAAACTTAACAATTATTCACAAAAAAAGCACAACAGCAGTTAATGACATGCCTTGAATGTATTGTAAAAACAATAGTTTATTCAGCAAAATGTATCACTCTTAAAACTGGACAAAAAGAACAATAAAAAGCTTCCAGGATTTGATGAATCAGTCGTTTCAGATGAAAATATAATACTCCATGTAATAATTGTCAGCTCACACTCCAAATAAAATCTTGCACATGAACTGCCTCGCTTCCACTCTTTAGCCTACACGTACATTTCAGATGAACAACGCAAAACGCTTAAGTGAAATACAGCATCAATAAGAGCTTCTCGACCGGAGAAACCGACCATCAAGGGTAGATCCATCAATCACGCGACCCAGAGAGTCTCAGAAGTGGATTCAAAAACTGAACTACATGGACTTTGGCTTTGCAAATGATAAAAAAAAGAAACTCACGATTGAAGTGTTTCTTTAATTAAATAAAGAAAAACAAATCGGAGACAGTTTCTTTGCGACGCATGTTCAGGCTCTGCCTTTATACATTTACACTGTCCGCTAAGAAACAAAACAAAAAAGGGCTTATTTTGAAGGGTTTAAAATAGTGACAATATTTTACAATTCTATCTTAAGTGGCATGTTCTATCAGGCCCGATCGAGTGGTGCGTCTCTTGGCCTGGTCATAATGGGTGACGGAACTATTCTAGAACCACCTGAAAGCTAACACGAGCTCCAAATGGTGGAGAATCGGGCCGGGAAGGAAAGGGGACGGGGGTCTTAGTACAGGGCGTCAGTATTGCTGCTTCTCGGCCTCTTGATCTTCTCGATGTTCTTCAGGATCATGTCATGTAATGTTACCTGCAGGACAAGTTTAGCTCATTAAAGTCATCACAATCTACACTGTAAAAGATTATACCATTGCCTCAAGTGGAATCAAATTAACAATTTTTTGCTATTCCTGCATATCTTTTTCTACAAAAAAATTGATTAAAAATAGATTTATGTAGAATGATTTTTAGGAACATAGTGTCTAAAACATTAACACATGAAATAAGATAACTTTTTAACCTAAGGTTTACAATGCAAATCCAATTAGTACTACTAGTTTGGTAAACAAAGCACCAAAAAGTCTCACAAAATATCCACTAGAAGTGTAACGAATCACGTTTGATCCATGATTCATACGGATCACAACCCATGGTTTGGAACACACGTGGCATGTGGATTAGTACCTTTTTATACTGGTAGATTAATCTTATATTTATCCATTTATTTTTATTAAACTTTCCAAGTTCTGCTGGTTGATGCATGTGCCGAGTTTTCCTTGCCAAACTTAAGCCAATTAGAATTGTTTGTTTTGGATCAATTTGGAATTTCCACAACCCTCAGAGCTCGGGGGATCAGAGTGAGTGATCTTACCTGGCCCCACTCTGATCCAATCCTAAATTTGTTACGATCACAGAAAGGTCGCCTCTCACGTCATTCAAATCACATATATGAAAGCATTTAGGCTTTTCTGTAAAATATAATGATGGCGAAAGATGTTGTGGTAGGTTGTTCGGGCTGAGGTGAGTCTCATTGAAGGTGTTTTCTGTTACTACTTGTTTAGCCTGCATTAATGCATTCAGTTTAAGTTTAAGCATGATTAATCAGTAAAGGATTGGTATCTCAACAATCACGCAACATAATATATAAATGATGGTGATTTGCAAATATTTATTAATCCTTCCAATTATGAAGCTACAAACAGTGAAATGAGACAGAAGTACTGGGAGAACAGTTTATAGTTTGAATGAAACCAGTGATGTTTATGGTAAAGATTAAAATCATTGTCATACGCATTCAACAAATTAAAGTTGTAGGCAGCAATTACATAATTTAACCAATAGGTGGCGACAACCAGCCATTAAAAAATATGCAACTGAACAATTCTTCAAAAATGATCGTCTAGCAATGAAACATGACGTTTTATGAGTGAATAACTGAATCATTTATTGAAAATGAGACTAAAAATAAATATGGGTTGTAAAAAATATAATGTTATATTTACACATTTAGTGTTATCAGCAATATTTGTAGAAACCGTTTCACAGTTTTTCACAGTACTGAATATTTAACAATTGTTTTAATTCAGCTGATTATTAGGTTCTGTTTGTTAAAACCAAAAGTGTCTTGCATTACTGTTTTTGTAATAAATGGAAAGCAACTGACATTTGTCTCCTCTCCTTTTTGTCTGACCTGAAAAAAGGTCCGATCTGTGACAAAAAAAATCCTAACGTGATCTGAACCATGAGACTTGTGATACGTTACACCACTAATATCTACCAAGACAGAAAATATTACTTATAAACTATTGTACACACATTTTCTAAACACTTGCATATTTAATTATATTACTAAAATAATGATAAAAACTGAATAAATATACATTTATACATTTAGAGAAATAGACTCAATCATGAGTTCATCATAAACTATGTTTCCATGACATATTGATTAGATCACTTTCTACAGTGTTTAGAACATTTTGCATAATTATTCATCAACTAGTATAGCAGTACTTACGTATTGATTTCGCAGTTCTGACACTATAATCTTGAGGCTGATGTATTCCTTCTCATCAATCTCTGTCACTGTGCGGCGATAATCCTCCTAAACATCCAATAACATAAGATTATCTTAAATATAATAAAACATATTATAGACCTGACATAAATGCTAGTCTGTAAGTGTAATGATGACTTACAACATGAGGGTATTTTGCTATTTTGGAAACCAGCTTTGCCCTTGTGATATAGTACCTGGAAAAAAAGATAAGGATTTTTTTTTTAATATGAATAAAATTCAAAAGCGAGCCGTTGTCTGCCATTAATATGGATTTAGTGTGAAGCACCTGGATATCTGGTCTAAGAAAGATGCTGCTTCCCCTTCCACTGTTCTGAGTTCAGCAACCGTCTCCTCCTGTGGACAGTAACGACAATCACAATTGCAGGTTAGTGGCTAGCAACTTCTGCATTTGACTTTCACTGATAAGTCCAAAGGTCACAGACAGTGGAAAATATTTTATGTGGCAGCATACCTGAATTGAGACACCAAAATTGTTGCCATCTTCTATTCTAGGGATTAACAACTGAACCCACATCTTGACCTAGAAGAGCACGGGAAAATTATTTAATCATTTACCTAACACGCTTGAGTGGAAGATGGCACAAGACTATCAACGTACTGTGTTGCATTTTTCCATAAGAGTTCTGATTTCAGGCTTGACTTTTTCAATCAGCTCCACCAGCTTGCCATTGCTTTTCATCATTCCACCAGGCATGACAAAGACCTTGGTCCCGCCAACTACAACAGAGCATATACAGGAATCAGAGAGTGAAATCAGAGAGTGTTGCATTGGTTACTGCAATAAAGCAGCATGATATCAAATCTAGTATGATTTCATAAACTACACAGCATCCCGATATTCACACAATTCAGGCAAACTTAAGCATAAAACCATACATTGTATAATCAAAAATTATAAAAAATGTAATACCTTGCAAAATAGCATTCAACACTTTGAGGGCCTTAAATTTCTCTACATTAATTGATCAACTTTTAATACTTTTTAAGACACACTGGATCTGTCAGCACAGCAGAGCACATGGAAAAGAGAGGAAAAAAGACAAACGAAAAACAAACAAAACAAACGAACAAGATCTCCGTTTTGATTTTTCCCCCCAGTGAATTTCAACAGTATTTTGCAGAGTGTTTGGCCTGTCATGGATGAAACACAGTCATGATTATACAAATACAACTCTAAAACAGCCAGTAGGGCAGCAAAAAGTTTAAATGAATTGAAACCTGTCTTTAGGAAGAGTAAAATGATTAATGCAGAATACATTCACCCAGGGCCAAAACACCAGTGTTGCTCTGAGAATTGCTCATAAATATTTATTTATAGTTAATATAAATATTCTTTGCATAAAAATAAAAAACAGAAGGAAATATTTCCCAGTTTCAATATGAGCATTTAATAAAACAAGTATGTGTTATCATTGACAATCAACACTGCACACTTTCAAAACACATTTGTTTAACTTGGTAAACTAAAGACAATACCCACCTTTGTCGTCTCCTGCTCCATCTTCAAATTTCCTCTTTTTAGCATTTTGCTATTGAGAAAAATGTCAAGGTTATCTTTTTATCATATTCAGAGATTTTAGATCAACATCAATAGATTATATGACTGACTAATGAAGAAGACACTTGACGAAAATGACTTTTACCCCCTCAATCCCATCGTGGATGTCTGTAAGCAGAATTGGGTCTGGCACTGTCAGATTGATCTCTGAATGAATTTCCTGCAGCTCCGTGATATTAATTGTGGGATCCTACAAGTGATCAAATGTATGAGTGTTTGTACAACAGGTAAAAGACTCAATGCATCATTTTGGGGTTTCAGCCCCTTTTAAAACAACATCTGGGTTTCACCAAGTAAAATTTAAGATTTTTTTAGACCATTACGAATTAAATTGCAAAATTTTACAAATGCTAAGGATTATTTTCAAATATCCCAGTTAGAAAAGATTTTCAGTTGCCCTATAATTTTTTTTTGTAATGTAATACATTTAACAAAACAATTATAATATTAATAATTTAGTTCGATTTTTTTTAATAATTGTCAAATATATCCATTCACAAACCCTAAAGCCCTTACAAATATCAGAACAAAACATAGCTGTCAATTACTTCAGTCTACAAAAATAATAAAAAAATATAAGACAGTCTCCTGTGTTAGACCATGGGCTGTATTAGCCACACCAACTTTTTGGGTTGGGTTTTCTCATTGAAAAACTTTTCCAAAGTAAAGTGAACTTCTAACAAAAAAACAGCAGAAACTTGTTTTAAGCATTATTATTTAAGTTTGATTTCTCAAAAGTCTGACTTTTCATTTCAAGATATGTTGCCGTTGAGATTTTTAAAGTTCTTCTTTAACATTTACAATGAAAAAAATAATTTTTCATAACAAGTCAATGTGATTTAATTGAAGGACGTTTAGATTTTTGTCCTGGACAACAAACTAAAAATCATTCAAATCATTGAAGTGCATGCAGCATTTAATCAAGACTTTGCAATTTTAAAACGTTCTGCTCCAATTTACGACTTTTTGCCTTCAATCTGAGGAGAGACAAAGCAAAACCCTGATCATAAACCACCATCAAACACTTACCTTCAAAAACTGGTCCAGTTCTAACAATTTCTTCGGGAAAAAGTTTGCAACCAAGTCTTCAGCCTATAAGTCAACAATAAAACAATAAGTGTCAAATAGTCAAAGAAATGTCGGTATATAAATAATACATGTATAATTTATACATGTAATCTCCGTTAATTTACCTCTGATGTAATTCGTTCTCTAAAAGCATCAACCTGACAAGACAAAAACATTAATATGTAATTTTAGAAACACAACTAAGGCAATTCCCAATCTGAATTTTGCAGTCACTGCTTTTATTATTTTTAATAAAATCGCTTTAAGAAAACAAAACAGCTGGCGGCCTTTCTGTTTTAGGGCGCTGAATGTAGAACTGCACAATCCCGCTGGATTAATTTATTAGCCTCATGATCTTAACTGTAAACCTTTGACAAAATAAGTAGATATTAAAAATTACTTTTAGCTCGCTAATGGAAAAAAACGATGGCAAACTTCTCTCCAATTCTCCCGTAACGACATGCTGCTGTGCTAAAAACACGCTTCATCCGCACACCCGCTGTTAATAACGACTCCGCCGAACATGTGGGGGCTTCGGCTTCAGCTTGGTGATCTGATATATACAATCCGAACGTACTTAACGTTTAAATCAATGTTTTATTTGAAAACTGTTTGATTTTACAAGCAAATCTGGATCTGAAAGTTAGCAGATGTGCTCACGAGGTGACTCACGGGCAAGCCGGCTAGCCGCAATGCTAACATTTACAAACAGTTTATTTGAGTGCGGCGTGTTTAAATAAAAGAAACGTTGAGACTTTTACCTTTGTTTTGATTTCATTGTCCACCTTCAGGAGCGAAGACATCGTATTAATTCAAGAAATGTGAAAATGAAGGGATTGTCCTAAAAGCATTAACTAACCGTGTGGCTTACTAACTGCTGTCAGCCACAAGGCACTTGCGCGCTTTTAGATGACGTAAAACAGAGAGGCCATAGATGCGAATACATGATAGATGTGCAGAAAGAGTCTGGCATTCGTGACCAAATTCAGTCGAATTAATGCAACGACAACGCAGCTTATTCGTGTGCGGTTTGGCTGTATTCTAAATAGACACTGAAAAAAGTACTGGGTTATTTATTTGAACACATTGTTGGGTGAATTGTGCTGGATCAAAAGTATGGACTGTTTGATGTAGGCTACTATAAAACATTTGGGGTTTGCTGACCCAGTTTAAACTGGGCTTATTCGCTGATGAAAAGGTCAGGTCATTTTGATTTAGCTGGTTTATTAATTGCAAATTAGATAAAAAATTTATGGTTAATAGAATATATTAATGAACATGGGGAAAATAACAAACAAACAATAACAGAGATACTGTAATTTAAGTAATAATTATAACAATAATGAAAATAAATGACAAGAACAACATCAACAATCATCAATCAATAATCATAATAAAGCATTATTTATTTATTTATTATTACCACTGTTGTTCTTGTAAGTAATAATAATAAAATAGAACATTAAGAATAATACTAGTAATAGAGTTTGACATTATGGCTACAAATTCTATTTCTCTCTTTAAAAGGTAAATCTGATCCCTGACGTGAATATCGCTTTTAACACGGTATCTATGTATTTTGATATATCTATGTTCTTGACGACTTGGAAAAGAGTGAAGCGCATGTCTGCGTCATATTTCTCTCTGTACATAAATTATTTGATGAAATCACAATATAAGTACCCACAAGAACAATTAAAAGCTTTCGCTTACCATTGAACAATTTTTATTTTGATATTTGATAAAAAGTATAAAAATATTTTGTTCGAACGTAAGCAAATCCGAGACACTTCCTGTGACGTACATTGGAGGCGTGTCTGAATCTAGCGATGTAAACAAGAACGCAAAAGACAAGTCTCACAGTGTTGACAGCACCACGGGCATTTAGAGCGTCGTATCCCCTCATCAAACGCTTCCGTTGACTCTGGCTCACAGACATGAACCTCCCCGTCACTGTCAAAGTGAACTTTAGGGGCAACGTGAAGAAATTTCCAGTCTTGGACACGAACAAAGCACAGTGGGAGACTGTGGAGGCCTGGGTAAGGAGTCATTAAGCCTTGCTGGGTGGCGTTTATGTGGGGACGTTTACATTTCTTGGTCCTACAAGGCCGTAGCTGAGGCCTACATAAACAAACCTTTAACCGGATGCTAAAAACGAATAACGTACAGGCAAATTCTTTAATCCTGTCATAGAAAATATGTCTTAACATGTATTTTAGCTGGGTCTTCTTTTAAAATCCACAGTGATGTAAATTGCAGCAATATCTATTATTTGCTCTTGACCTTTCTGTTCGGCCATAAATCAGATGACAGCTTCTAAATAAACACTAACGATGTAAAATATCGTTCTCGTTTTAATCTTACTGTGCCTTCTTTACATTTTCTGTTTATAACTTTTAGATTAAAACTACTTTCGGCTTGAGCCATTTTCAAGTGAAATATTTTGACGAGGACAACGAAGAGGTAAATAATAACAGTTTAATTACGGGTTTATATCATCTTTGCATTTTTGTTTAATATATTACATTGATGGATATGAGTTAAAAGTTGTTACAGATCTATTGTTTTATTTTTCATTACAGGTGTGCATAAACAGTCAAGGTATGTATATGATTTTATTAATTGTTTTCACTAAATAACTCGAAATGTTGAAATATTATTAAAATGAAAATTAATGTTTGTATATATATATATATATATATTTTTTTTTTATTTTTATTTTTATTTTTATTATTATTATTTTTTTATTATTATTTGACAACATCACAGATGAATATACAGAAGCTCTAAAGGTAAGAACATCAAACAATTCAGTTTTGTGTGTGTGTGTGTGTTTGTATTTATAAGCCAAATCTGAATAAGGCCCATGCTGTATTAAATTATTATTATAATGATCATAATTTAAAAAAAAATCTCAAGGCTTTAAAAATAAATTTATTTTTATTTAGAGTGCGTTTAAACAAGCCAACCAGCTCCACATGAATGTCTATAAGATGAAGGGTCAGGCAGAGGGTGGTGCAGTTAAGGCAGAGCTGAAGGAACTAAAGATAGACCCCAGACCAGCTCCGCCATATCGAGCTAGGGTCAAGATGGCAGACAAAGAGACCCAGGTGACCCCCGAGCGGGAATCGGTAAGCACTTTGCAATCTTTTAATTATACAGTTCTGTACAAACTTTTACTAACCCTTTGCAGAATATCTAAATGTAATTTTAACAAAATAGGAAACCCTTTTTATTGGATATTTTATATTACTATATTGTTATTACTTATATGAATTAGAGATTTTATATATTAAATGTTGAAACATACTCTTTATGACTAAATAATACATTCATCTAAAAAAAAAAAATGACACTATCGAAAAGTTTACATACCCTAAAATCTTAATACTATTTGCCATTATATGTGTGATGTTATTTTTTTATTGTTCTGATAGATGTTTATGAGTCACTTGTTTGTCCTGAACAGTTAAACTGCAGAAATGTTCATAATATTATTTGTCTTTCTTGCATCATGTGCACTTTTTTCACATCAGGACAATTTTATAAACAAATATCGCAAAATTTGAAAACAATTCAAAGGCAACACACTACCTTCTTGAGGCTCTTTAATCTTAAAATGGATGGTCAGGTTCAATTCATTATTTTTCTGCTAGTAATGTAAGTATTTTATTCAGTTTTGAAGGGCAGTATTAAATACAATTATAATGTTTAAACTAAACCAGCACGGAACTGTACATTGTGTACAAAGGTTTGCACTCTTGTGTAGATGGGTACACAGTATGTCTCTTAGTTAATAAATTATAATTATTGTGAAAATACTGATCTCAAAATTAGTCTTTGTTGGAAACTATTCATATATACACAAGATAAAAGAAAAGAATGTGTAGGACCTTGAGGATCTTTCTGAAGAATTTAACTGCTCATGACAAACAAGGGATTCTTGAACAAGCTTCACAAACAAGTAATGAATCATCCAGGTAGCAGCACACATTGCTAAGATTCTTTAGTATTTAAACTTTTCATAAATGCAGTTATTATCATTTTCTTCACTTTGAAAAAGTGCATGCTAATGTCTAACTGTAAAAGGCAGTTTACATCTGGTGTGTGAAATGGCATATTCAGGACCATACTAAATAAATAGCATTCAATTTTAATAATCCCTCTTCTTTTGCAAAAATGATTAACATTCTGCCTATTTTGCAAGGGGAGTGCACACTTATTAGCTGAACTGCAAGTGTGAGTTGTCTCACAGTTCATGCCGATATTGCTAAAGTTAATGTTGTTAAATTATAATGGGCTGAGCTTATTGCTGAGCAAGATGTTTTCAGATTGAGAAAATGTGTTTCTCTTCCTGGTTTTCACAAACAGGCTGTGGCCAAAGAAAACAAAGGGATGAAAACTGAAGAAGAAGCAGTCCCCACTTGGTTTAAATCCTACATGGACAGGGTACTGTGTCTTAAAAATGATTTAATGGGTCTTGCTTTGATAACGTTACTTTTGCATATAACTAAAATGCACCATATTACATTTCATATTAAAGTCATTACTTGTTTAATCTGGTCCAAATTGTTCTTTTTGTAGTTCAAAGACCAAGTGGTAAGGGAGGTGGTGGACAGGATGTGCAGTGAGTTTTCTGGCCAGTGTTGCACACACAGAGCCTCAGATCCTCCTGCAGAGGAACCAAGCACCTCTGGCACACAGAAACCAGTCAGCTCCACCACACTGAGGGCCTCTAGCTCAACTCCAAATTGCAGTAGTTGCAAAGGACCAGCCACTGGGGGAGGATATCAGTGCAGGTGAGAATGTCCTAAAGCTTTGAGAATATTGACTAATATTCTGTGCTGGATAGTACTCGGTAAAGCAAACTGAATTAAATAGTCAGATTTAAAAAAGTAAAAACTTAAAATAATTTCACATTTAAAATGGTCATAACTCCAGAGTTATATATTGATTGATTACATGGAATTGTCACAGTGGCAGTTAAGTCTTCAAAATTTACAGATTTTTCTTTTTAACTTTTTATATTTGTAATCTAAGCCAACTAATTGGAAATTTATGTACATAAGTTTTTGGGGAAAAAGGGTAAAATCTACATCAATTGCCTATAATAGGTTAATGGTAACATAATTTGTTTGCTTTTTATTCAGTTTTGTAGTATTTGCAGTTTCCTGGTATCTTGATTTGCACTGCCACATCCAATGAAGTTCGAAAATGGGCAAAAAATAGAGCTCATGATATAATAAAGGTAATCTAAAATGAATCAGACAGATTACATTACCTAAAATGTGTAATGTGTTAGTAAATAGTTTTAATATTATATTTTCATTTTCACCTTAAAGCAACAAAGAAGGCAACAACGATTATAAAGACAGAAAAGAAATGCAAAAAAAGACAAAAGATTTTAAAACCATTATTAAATCAGTTCCTCCAGTAGTATCAACAAAGATACACATGTATATCTAGGCTCGTGGGCACAGGCAATATAATGATCCTGCAGACGATGACAGGGTTATACCTTTAAACTGTTATCCTTGGCATTTGACAGTCAATTAAAAAAAAGAATTACACAGGGCTTTGAAGCCAGCAATGTTATCAGATAGATTGTGTCTAAGTGTCTCTTAATGTAAAGTGCTAGAACAGGGTGTTCGCAGGGTCTTTTAAGTATTAAAAGTTAATAAATTAATTATGAGAAAATGAAGGCCCTTGAAAGTTATTAAAAAGTCTTAATCATGTTTTTACGAGGTCTTGCATTTTGTTCAAGCGTTGTCCAAAGTGTTTGACTCCAAAAAAGTATAAATATATAGTTATTTTCCTCCTAATATTATCAATGGCGTGCTCGATCTGTGCGATTGGTTCTGGCTGGGGTGCCTCAAGCCTTGCTCCTCCGTTCGGGTCACATATAACATAATAAACATTGTCACATAATTTGCGGCAAACGCGGCAAGGTGATGTGACGATCTCCACATGCAGCAAAACCATAGAGCCAAACAGACGGCTGGAAAATGTAAGTTTTCATTCTCCTGGTTGGAGAAAGACGAGTTTAAACAGTGGCTGAAACTTGTCGCTGAAACAATCGCAAAATTTTTCTTTCAAGCTTTGTTTCTTCCTAGCTTATCTGAGTTCTGTTACATGGTTGTGCTTCATTGATTTATTTAACTACAACTGTTTATTAACAACTATTTATTAAGTTAAAGGTTTGACTCCGATTGCAATTTGAAGTGGCGATGAGGTCTTCAAATATTCTGAAAAGGTCTTTAAAAAGTCTTAAAAAGGTATTAAAATTAACTTTAGGATTCCTGCATATACCCTGTAGAAAATTACGAAAGCCAGGAATTAAAAATAATTTTTGATGCCTTTTTCCATAGACAAAGAATATATATTTTTTAGCTTTTACTATTCCATATTGAACAGCTTTTTTAATTTGATGACTGCAACCAAAAACTGTGATTACTAGATCAGGGGCGAGGTCACAAGAATAAGCCTTAGAGTAGATGCTGAAAATTTTGCTCCAAAACTCAAAATGTTTTGGGCATGACCAAAAATGATGTCCTGAGGAGCAGATTCACATTTACATTTAGAGAAGATGGAGGGGTAGAATTTATTAAGCTTAACCCTACAATAATGAATCTGGTGTACTATTTTATATTAAATTAGTTGGTGTCTTGAGTTAATAGAACAAGTGTTTATGGTATTAGTAATTTAAAATTTATTTAAGATTACAATTCAGAAGTACTCTTCCAATCTCACACTATTTGAGAAAATGAATGACCGTTCAATATGAACTCTTCCCTCCTCCTATGTGCAGTGTTTGTCCATCTTGCATCTTATGCGAGCCATGCAGTCATAAACACGATCCCAGCCACAACCTAAAGAGAACAAGGACTCCTCTGTCTGTCCCTGAACGTGGAGTTACCCCTGAACCCAGGTAGGCCAAAATAAACACTTGGTGCTCAAGATGTTGTGAATTTTCTGCTTGACCTAACGTGTTGTTTAGAGCGATGATTGTATATATATGTTAAGGGAATTGAATTCATTTTTCTGTGTTGTTTTCAGGTTTCTGAGGCGGGGTGACAGGACGGTGAGAAAGGCGGAGAGGCAGCGTCTAAAAGCAGAGCGGAGGCAGCTGAAGGCTGAGGTGAAGGAGATCAAGAAGAAGCTGAGGCTGGAGAAGAGAGGTCTGCTGTGGAGTGGAGCCTCCAACGGGACCAGCACCTCAGGCCTTGCCCCCGCTCCCGCCCCGTCTCTAGGTGCAGGACCAGCCCCAGCTCCGGCCCTGTGCCCAGACCCTCAAACTTCCAGTCCAGAGTAAGGGCCACACTGAGAGGGGTCAGGGCTGGGTGACCTCCCTACCCAGCCCAGAACAAACATTATCAAGATTTATCACATTGTCTGTTATAGTTGAGTTATCGCTGGCAAATGGATGGAACTACCTCAAAATAGCACCCGCTGCCTTTATGTATTACGTCCTTTTTTGTACTTTTTTGATATGAACTTCAAGGAAAAGACAGACGCTGAAACAAAGCTGTTCTGATGATCCTCTGTGCACTCAAACCAGGGGTCCCAAGGTCTCCGGCTCCACCTTGGTGCCCACAATGACTGCCTTGTTTCTGGATGAGAATCTACCAGATGGCACTTGTCTGGAGCCAGGCACCAAGTTCATCAAGTACTGGAAGATGAGGAACACTGGCAACATCAGCTGGACTTCCGACACTAAGGTACTTTCTGAAACCCTCACTGTGATGTTTTGATGCATCTTTGTGGCCTCCGTTTGCAAGTTTGCTTGTGTCTGTCTTTTTAGTTGAAGTTCATGTGGGGCAACCTGACCCTGGGATCACGAGAGCATAAAGAGGTCGCAGTGCCCTTTCTGCAGCCGGGGCAGGTTGGCGTGGTGAGTGTGGCGTTTGTGGCACCCCTGCTGGAGGGCACCTACACGTCTCACTGGCGCCTGGCACATTGTGGTGTGCAGTTTGGGCCCAGAGTGTGGTGTAGCATTGTGGTGGTGCCAAGCACAGGGCAGAAACCCAGCATCCACTGCAGCAAATCACTGGTGAGTCAACTTTAACCCAATGCTCTAGGGTTGGGACAATAAACTGATGTATTCCTGGATAAATTCTAAGATTTTCGTAATGTATCGTGGTTCTCCATGAAACTTGCAGATGAAGCTCTTGGCTAGTTTGTCAAGCTCATGAAAAAGAGAGCTTGAGTTAAACGTATTTGCACCATGTCACAAGATTAATGTAAACACAGCTCACTGTGAACTAACCACTGCTTAAAGCTTTCAAAACTTTATTATTGCATTGATTTATTGTCTCAGCTCAGCATTGCACCAACATGAAGACGGTTGTTCCAGTAGTGTATATATAGCAATTAAATATTTTGTCTATCACTGTCCAGCGGACTGATCTGTGTCTAATGGGGAAAGACGGCATGTTCTGGTCAGGCACCAGAGACTGTGAAGTGTCGGCCAGCTCCAGAAGAGAATACTGCATCCCCTCTGTTGACTTGCTGACAGCACAGGTATGCGTTATCAGATGCGAAGGACAACATTTACTTATTCTATGACTGAATAATGTCCAAAGTCTTGTTGTTGTCCAGGATCTGCTGTCCTTTGAGTTACTGGATATAAACATTGTGCAAGAATTGGAGAAAGTCCCAGCCAATGCTCCATCTGGTAAGGCTTCATTCTGGTCATAATAATGTAATTCATCCTCAGGGTCTGTTCCTCAGTGTCATGTGTGTAATTAGTCTGGCCTCATTTTTAGAGTAATTGTGTAATGTTCTCAGATATGACCTCCTGTGTATCTCCAACTCTTCACCATGGAGCTTTGTTTGGGAAGCACGGAACAGGACAAAGCAAAGTCGAAGTTGGACGTTCATGCAGGAAGAAAATTCAAGGTTGGAATATGTTAATGTGAACTTTGAATTGCTGATTTGTATGCATGTCTAACACCAACTACTGATGTCTGCTGTCTAAACAGCCAATATAGTTGCAGGATCATTTAGTTCCTATATAGTTCTCAATATCAAGTACTTAAAAAGCATGATTATTTGAAATTGTAATAAAGATGAAATGATCAAAATAACTGTATTAATTTCTGTCTGTTTTCTAATTCAATTAAATACTGATGACCAGTAAACATAATTCATGGCAGATTAAGTTTTATCCATTGCAATTTTAGTTTTATCCCATGCAGATTTTTAGATCTGTTAAAGGCTTTTGTGAATGAATGTCTTCCTGAACTGATTATGAACGTGTTACTAGTGACCTTTTATGTACTGACACGACTTATTCTCTGTTAGTCCTGCAGCCTCAGAGACAAAACGAGCTTCTGGATGTTCCAGGCAATGAGGAAGGAGACGAAGACATCAGTGGCACTCAGTTTGTGTGTGAGACTGTGATTCGCTCTCTGACTCTTGAGGAGGAACCAGAACGCAAACCTCAACGCAGAGCACGGCCCAGCCTGAGGAGGCATGATGGTGAGCTTCTGCTGGAATTCTGCTCACAAAAAAACAGATATTTGACTGGCCTTATTTTGTTTTTGTTCATTTTGCCTTCCTATTTTGCAGTTCCAGATCCTGTTCGCTTAAAGGAGAGATCAGTGCCGGTGAAGAATGACAGACCAGTCATAAACAGGCCTGAGGCTCCAGTTCCTGTGTCAAAGCCAATCATAACAGATGAACCTGTCTTTCCAGGTCTGCATGCCTTTTTTTTTTCTTGGTCACTGTTACTTAGGGTGCTTTTACACTTGGTTTAATTGCCTGGACCATACCAAAGTTCGATTGTCCTCCCCGGCCACCTTCTCGGTTGGTTTGTGTTCACACTTTCTTTTTTCCTTCTGAACCCCGTTACGCTTGCTTCATCAAGCTGCTGTGGTGTGTACAGCCTTTGGTTTTGGACATACAGAAAAGCAACTCGCGTCCATCTGTCGCAATATTATTATAAAAGTTCAGAACATAACGCAATGTTTTTGGAGGAGACAAGCAGACATTATCACTATGCTTGCCCTGGCTTAGTCCTGCTTGTCACCAAGGTACAGTACGTGATACACACACATACACACACACGAATGAACGTTATGAAATGCTGTTGATGGATCCATTATTTGGTACGATTGCATTCATATCAGAAGTGAAGCGGACCAGGACCGTACCCCAGACCACCTCTTTCAGCTGGACTCTGGTATATTTTGTGAGTACGTACCCGAGTTCAGAAGACACGTTCACACTAGCTAAACGTACCGTACTCTGATGTCAAACAAACCCGGGTGCGGACCAGAATTGCTAGTGTGAAAGCATCCTTAAAGTACCCCATTATGGCTTTTCAATATGTATAGTATATGTTTGTGAATGTTAACAGGTAAAACTAAATGAATACGTGTAGTTTTTACTTAACGTTAAGATCTTGTGAAGCAAAATTTGCAAGAAACTGAATATAATTTACAGCCCTATTACATTTAATGCACAGCCTCACCACAAGTTCCTGAGCACATTCACAGTTCTCTAACACTTGTGCATCTATTTCAAAAAGTTACACCAGAGTCAAAAGAGGATAACATGTCTGGTAAAAAAAAATTCATGAAGGTATTATATTCTGATATATATTACAAAATAGAGTTGTAGCTGGGATGAAAATGAGCCTTTTTGTGTTTTAATGGAAACATTTTTGTCCGTTACTATTTTGTCTTGAACTGTTTTTTGTACTTAATGTAAAACACATTTCTGAAAGAAAATAAGGGTTTAAATTCAGGATGTCCCTCATTTGTCATTTGATTTTGAGTATCTACCAACGCTGAAACCCAATCCGATATTTCTATAATACATAAAAAAAAGATTAAAGAGTGAAAAAACAGATGCAGGATGTTCCTTTTTTATTAAATTACCTTAATTTAACATTCAACAACTCTGTTCACAAACAGAGCACTTCTGTGAGGTAACATCAATTCTTCACATTTGAATTTTAGTGGAACAATAAATATTAAAAAATCTAATATAAAAACAAATAGCACCTCAACTTAAAATACCCGACAGGCATGTAAACAAACAAAATAAATTAATTAATTAAAATGCCACTGTGTTTGCAAAGCCAGTTATGTGCTTTTAGGAACTACACTCCTAACTCTTACTGTCATCACAGTAGTAAGTTTCACACAAGGAAATGGATGTTTATCTTAACAAAAACTAACGTCTCTACCTTGTCGGGTTTGAGCCTGTTTCTGTTCTCCTTAAGAACGTTTGCAGCGGCACTAAAAATCTCATAAACTTTATAATACCTCCTGATCGCAGACATACAAGCTGCTTCTGTGTTCTACTACCACGTGTTGCTGTTTCTGTGCGAAGGTCTAACTCTGTACCAGCGCAAAACTACAGATGTGTTCAAAAGTAATTAGAACATATACAAACATACATATATATTTGAATCCAGATCGGGAGGTAACGTTCGGTTCCGATCGAGTCTGAAACCGTGTGATCTGGCCTGATTTGCGATCATGTGATCGGATATGGACATCCCTAGTTTAAATTTAAAATACACCCTTAAAACTATATATTTTGTATTAACATTGTCTAAATAGTCAGACAAATAAAATGTAAAAGAAAAAATGTCAATGAAGATGCAAAAGGGTTAAGCAGACACACTAAAAGAGCTTGCACTTGGGCTTGCTAAAAATAAACAGTTTTATTTGCTCAAGCAGCACCTTCTTTCAGTTCACATTTGGCTGTTTGTGCAGTTTTTACAGAGGCATTGATTGGCTCAAATGAAAACCTCTACACCGACCCAGCTGCACAGGAGGAGAATGAAGAGGAAGCGGAACAAAAGGGACGTGAAAATGAGCAAGAAAAAGAGGAAGAAGCAGGAGAGTGGGATGAGGTGAGCAGCCAGGTGTCCTCTGCCTCATCTGAGGACTACATTGTCATCCTGCCTGACTGCTTCGATACTTCCAGGCCCCTGGGAGAATCGATGTATAGCTCTGCAATGTCCCAGGCTGCAGTACCTCTTGCCAATGGGCCAGAGGCACCGCAAAACCCAAGCACGGCTGAAGGAGAGAATGAAGAGCCAAGCCCTGTCGCAGTTCTTCAGAACAGCCTGAACCGGATGCTGTCCACCTCTCAGATACTGGACACTCCTCCTCTGATTCCAGAGATGGTTCCTGTGCCTGTCGCTCTGTCACCACCCCCGTCTCTCCGAACACACAGGTTAAAAACATTCAAAGAATCTTCAGGGTAAAGGGTTAGTTCACTTCCACAATTCACATTTCCTGATAATTCAGATATGAGTTAATGTCATTGTCAACCCTTGTTTTTTTTCCCTGTTTTTTTTTTTTTTTTTTTTGAGAAAACCATTCCAGAATGTTTATCTCTATGTAGCTGCAACTTCAAAGACCCCCTGCTGTGGAAAATGTCTCTTGCCTAGCAAAATGTTTGGTCGTTTTCTTCAGAAAAGTGTGATCAATTGTTTATACTTTTTAAACCATAAAACCTTGCATCCTTAAAAGTAGTAAGTGCAAGACGAGCTTAAACAATATGTGAATTTATAATTTTATTAAATAAGATATCAGATTGTTTCAATAAGAGAGACCCTTATTGTTTTGCTGCTATTGTTTGATTCTTTGAAACTGTACTGAGCACCTTAATTCTTTTTATGAATGAATAAACAAAGGCATGAACATTAAAGATGACAAGGGGTGAGGAAATGTTCAAGAAATTACAATTCTGGAAGTGAACTAATCCATTATTAATGCAGAGGGAGTGTACTGTTACTCTAGATGGACCATTCCATTCATTTTCAAGGCTTCATGCTTGTTTTGCAGATTAGTGAGATCTCATGATGTTGAGTCAGAACCAGGGGATGAGAACACCTCATGCCAACCCGAGGATGACTCAAGCGGTGAGATTTCTTGTCTTCTAGACTCAGTCCTGGAAAAATAACATCATCTTTTTGCAATATAATGTATTATAGTTGTTTTAGTGCTATCATGAAATTTAAATAATTCAAGTTATATATATATATATATATATATATATATATATATATATATATATATATATATATATAAAACTTGTGTGTGTGTATATACATATATATATATATATATATATATATATATATATATATATATATAGAGAGAGAGAGAGAGAGAGAGAGAGAGAGAGAGAGAGAGAGAGAGAGAGAGAGAGAGAGAGAGGGAGAGAGGGAGAGAGAGAGAGAGAGAGAGAGAGAGAGAGAGATATCTGGCTTTAGACACATACATATAATAATTAATTAAAAATGTATTAGGTATTAGTATATCTACATATTTAATAATTACAACAAAATTAGTATTATTATTATTATTAGTAGTGTATATTTAGATAATAAGACTGCGCTTGACATTTTACCTTATATTGTGCAGATAAACTGATTATTTAAAACTGATAAACTGATGACTTTGAGTCATCTTAACAAATGTGTGTGTCTTTTCTTTGTCCTAGGTTGCAGATCAGCTCATTTAGAGGCCCCTGTTAGTGCCTTTGAGACCTGTGGCCCCCAGGATCCCCGGTATAACAACATAGCCACTTCATTTGCTCTTAGTTGTGCTTACATGCATTACATTCCATTATATTCACAGCAGTGGCCAAAATGATTAGGAATGACACTTGGTGTATTTCAGGGCTTTGGGCTGTTTTTCTTGAACTGGCTTCAGTTGCAGAAGGAATGACAGAACATGTCTTGTTCTCAAGATTATCAGGATAAATATATTGACACTGTGTTAGTGTAGTAAAGTGTATTTGCTGCAAAAGGTGGAGAGCAAATGTTAAAGTTTAAAATGAATTAAAACAGTACGACTCACTTCATCTGATATTTGTTGTGCTCAGATGTTTCATGAACATTATGAAATTAAATCAGGTTTTGAAGTCAAAAAGATGTACACTACCTTACAAAAGTCTTGTTATTGATCTCAGTTGTAAAAACAACAAATAATAACTTGACTTCTCGTTGATCATTTGGAAAAGTGGCAGAAGGTAAATTTTTCCCATGAATCATCTGTTGAACTGCATCCAAATCATCACAAACACCGCAGAAGACCTATTGGAACCCGCAAAGACCCACGATTCTCACAGAAATCTGTCAAGTTTGGCAATCATAAAAAAAATTATAATTTGGGGTTACATTCGTTATGAGGGCATGTGAGAGATCTGCAGGGAGGATGGCAGCATCAACAGCCAGAGGTATCAAGACATTTGTGTTGGCCAGTACATTACAAACCACAGGAGAGGGCAAATTCTTTAGCAGGTTAGCGCTCCTTCTCATACTTCAGCCTCCATATCAAAGTTCCTGAAAGCAAAGAAGCTCAAGGTGCTCCAGGATTGACCAGCCCAGTCACCAGATATGAACATTATTGAGCATGTCTGGGGTAAGATGAAGGAGGAGGCATTGAAGATGAATCCAACAAATCTTGATAACTCTGGGAGTCCTGCAAGAACACTTTCTTTGCCATTCTAGATGACTTTATTAATAAGTTATTTGAGTCATTGCAGAGATGGATGGAAGCAGTCCTCCAAGCTCATGAGAGTCACACACAATATTGTATATAATTATAACTCTTTTTCCACTGCACCATGACTTTATATTCTATACTGTACATCATTTCTGTTAAGTCAAAAAACTTTTGTCTAAGCAAAGTCTGACCTTACCTAATGAAATAATTAAAAATCAAGGAATGATCATATTTTATTTAGGTAAAATAAGCGTAATCTAGAGGCCTTTGCCTTTCATATAAGCTACTTCTGATTCCAAATGATCAACTAGAAGGAAAGTTCATATTTGTTGTTCCTAAAACTTGGATAGGCGACAAGACTTTTGTCAGGTAGTGTATATATACATCTATATACAGGACAAGTTTGATAAAGGGTTATCCACTTAAAATGTTGACTACTGTATAAACTTATAATACAAACAGGGTAGGAAAGTGTGATGGTTCTGGTTTCAAGTAGTTTTCGAATCCACCCATTCCTAAAACTGAAACTTGCATGCAGCAGAAGAGGAAGCAGTTCTGCAGAAAATGCTATCCTGTGGGCTACCACATTTTGTTCTTTTTCATAGTATGATTAACATAACACTTTTTAAATCCCTTTAAAGTAGCACACGAACTGCCTATTGAATCATGCATGTTCACTTGCAGCTGTTCTTCCTCTTAGCTTTGCTTCATGACTGATTCTTAACAGTAATTTTCTCTTGTCCTCTTGTTTTGTTGGCACGAGACTGTTGGGGCATGACCTTGTGTTCCTGTTTTTGATGTTCTGCAGGGCACGTAATGGTGGTCTGACGGAGGGGCTGGTGAAGGGAGCTCTGTCTGTAGCTGCTTCTGCTTATAAAGCACTGTTCACAGGCCAGAGCACACCTGCACAGGTCTGACACTGTTCCTCATCAATGCACCACACACACACCAGATCTCATTTACTGTGAGGGGTACTACAGTATATATCTGATAAGTGTTCTTTTAGTTTTTTTAAGGATTATTGTACATTTTTATTCATAATTCTAAAGTTTTTAATGTTTTCATATTTTGTGGTTTTAGTTTATATTAGTATAATCATTTATTTTTTTCTGCTCCATTATTTATTTTATTTTTTGTTTTGATTTAGCTTTGAGTTCACTTTAGTAATCTTAATCTTTAGTAAAAATACATTTTTTATATTTAATTTTACACTTAATATTTATTTTACTTCAAGAAGCAAAAATGATGTTTTGGTTTTATAGTTGTAGTTGCATTTACATGTACACTTTAATTAGGGATCCAGCACCGGTGGTGCATAGGCCCTATTAGAATTCCTCTGTTTTTTATTATTATTATTATTATTATGCCCCTAATCGAGGGAATTTTGAGTCTAAACATGCTCGGAAACTCATGAAACTTTGCACACACACCAGAAGTGGTGTACATGATCGTTTGATATGGGCTTCAGAAGTGGGTGTGGCTATATGGCTTGACTGCGCCACCTATAAACATTTGATGAAGTGGCCCCTAAGCTACATTTCATGCACACATACGGAATTTGCCGCAAAATCTAAACCAACATAAAGTCAGATATTTTTACCTTCCTCTGCCAAAAAGTGTGGTTTTTGCGATTTCCAGGTGTTGTATCTTAACGAACTCAGATCAACACTTATCAGATCAACACCAAAATTAAGTATTGTCATCTAAGGGCCTTGGCTATATTAAATTGTGAAGATCTAGAGTTTTCGTAGAAGGGCATATCCGTGGCAGAAGGAAGTACTTATAGCTTTGCCTGAAAATTCACGTTCGTTGAGATTCCTCTCCTGAAGACATCTACATGCCAAAATAAGTCAATCATAGCACCACCTGCTGACAGAAGGAAGTTTGGCATAAATCTGTGATTTTTCTCATGTCTATATATTTATAAATCAGCTTAAATTATTATTTATTTATTGTTTTTTGAATACATTTTAATATATATTTTGTTCCTTTTTGGGGTGATAACACAATGCACTGTTTACCTCCACAAGACTAGCTTATAAAAGGCATATTTTAACTCTGAAGTGTTTAGTTTAGGTGACGGAGTGCACAGCTAATCTAAATGCAAACACCAGTGCCTATAATTTGACTGTATTTAAATACTTAAGATAATGCAAGCCTTGAGAACTTTGTTATCTTTGACTAGTGGACTTGGTCTTTGTGACCTCCGTCACACTAACTTAAGCCTGGTTGTCTTTCAGCGGCCTGAAGTGGACCCAGCCTGTGAAGACGCCTCATTAATGGCTGTATTACAGGAGATGGGCTTCAGCAACCAGCCGCTCAACCAGAGGCTGCTGAGAAAGCATCACTACAACTTACTTGATGTGGTCAACGAGCTGGTGCAGTTGACCGACAGCGAATGGCACATCTCAAGACATTAGGAAGCACCGCCGCGACCTCAACGACGTGTAAGAATTGTAAATGATTTCATTGTGTTGCAGCTTTCTGTCAGAACAGGAGAAACACAGCTGATGTTTATTTGTTAGAGAGTCTGGAGAAGAAAAAGAGAGAACTATATCACTATAACTGACAGTAGCTGCAATGATGCAATTACTTGATTGTAAACTTTTAGTTTCATGTTTGTAGGACATTATGAATGGGGAAAATACACAAGGTTTATCAAAGGGAAATTTCACCATTTAAAAAAGGACATTTTCTTCACTTACTCAGCTTGATTCAGACTCTTTTCAGATTCTTATTTCTGTTGGGACACAAAAGAAGATACTTTGAAGAGTGTTGAAATTCAGTAGTCGTTTGCTCCCATAGTATATATATTTTTTTCAATGGCCAACATTCTTTAAAATACCTTCTTTTGTGTTCAACAAAAGAAAGAAACTTGTAAAGGTTTGGAACCACTTGAGGGTGAGTGAATAGTGAGTAAATGTTCATTTTTTGGTGAACTGTCCCTCTTTAAGCAGTCTTAACGCTACCTTTATTCAGTGCGTGTGCCCTACTAACCTGTTAGGTAGGCTTCAGGTAAATTTTGTACTGCTTGATTAGATATGATGATTAATTTGAAACAATACCAGAGGGTTTCGGTTTGTTTGAGCACTTTTGCCTCTTGGAGGAAAGCTATATAAAGAACAGCCTGTGTTGATTTTGTTATTTGTCACGGTGACCTTTATATTTGTATATCTTATTTTAAATCACACTACTTCATGCGTCACACTAAGGTATTGGGCTGCCAAACTTATAGGAATGTGCAATGAGTTTTTCAGTCATGCTTAACACAACGATTGATTGATTGATTGATTGATTGATTGATTGATTGATTGATTGATTGATTGATTGATTGGTCAAAGATTTTGCTATAGGCACCAATTTTGGTCATCTTTGTCATTTTCATGTGCAATGTATTATTATGAACTGAAGGCTTATCAACATGGCTTTTGTGTCCAACACAGTGAATAAAAACATTCCATTATCATTTCTGTTGTGTTTTGAGTTATTCTCTTTGCATAATCACAGATCTTCTTGCTGTTGTCTAAATCTGCCCAGTCTGCAGAACTGCTTTTGGTTAATGTGCACACATGTGAACTGCTGAAACAATGGAATGTACCAAAGGTTAAAATAGTTATTCTCCTAGTCAGCTTCCTCTTTTGAGGCACGAATGAGCACAGATTCACAAAACACAGATTTTGTTTTTGTTTAGTTCTCGAATGATAAAAAACTCAATTGGCTTTGTTGTTTTATTCATTTTAATGGGTTGTGTGGTGTTTAATGTGTGCTATTGGAATAATAAACCACAATAAATAGAAATCCTATTGTATTTTTTATAACCAATTACTTAAGCATCTTTAATCATATAATGACATTACAGCTAATGTTTCTATAAACTTGTTAAAATGTCATCATATAAGTAAAAAAAAAAACAAGAATAATTAAAATACCAAAAAATTATTATAGAACATTCTAAATTTTATCATACCTTAAATAACTAAAAACAAAAGTAACAAAGATTTATAAATACAACTATTTATTATTTTGTGGCTGCGCTGTTATATTTTGAGTGGTGTATTTGTATTCTGTAAATCATGCCAAAAATGATCATTACCTTTCATTAGCCATTATTTTTTGTTCCAAAATACTTATGTAGACGTCAATATTTTAGCTCCTTTTGAAAACTTGTATGTTCCATAGGTACAGTGTGCGAATTATACATTGACAACCAGAGGGTCAACTGTTTTGGTTAGTTTGTGTAATACATGCTTCAGTCATTTTATGTATTTATTTTTAGTTACGTCTAGTTTATTAATAAAGCTTATTTAAGTTTTAAGCCTTTTGAGGATTTAGTGTATTCTGACCTATTCTCTGATTAAATATTTCAGTAAGTTAAACTACAAACCATGTGTCTAATTAGACTTTATTTCATGCTAAATCTAGATTCAAACACCCATTTTACAAGAAAACAAAGTCTTGAGAATACGATGTCTATCGGGGCTCTAGATCTACTAATTTCATACTTGTTTCTCCAATAGACATTGATTGATTGGCGCGATTATGCATTCACAATGGTTTGAACCATTATTTATGTTATCTATTATTTAAATTATACAGATCAGATATATATATATATATATATATATATATATATATATTTGCGTTCCAATATTCTGTAAAAGCAAATGATGACGTTTATATAACTACAAAAGAGATAGAAGTGTTAATATGAGAGGTGTTAAAATTGCTGACACCCTTGTATAAAACACAGTAAGGCTGCTACAGCAACGTATGCTTTCTTTTTTGAATGAAAAGGGCGCACCGAACCACAAGCAATAACACACAGTGTGGCCAGCGGAGGGCGACACCAAACAGCTGAGGTGAATCAAAGAGGGAAGTGAGTGACTGCGCACTCTAAAGTTCATTCGCGAGTAGCATGTGCTGTCTTACAAAACAACCTAAATACGAATTTCCCTAACCAGCGGGACGGAGTGAATCGGTATAGCAGCCACAATGTCTCAATGAATTCACGGTAGGTGAAATAATGCTGTGTGGAGATTTGACGTAAACAAATTCAGTATGTTATGATTACACGAGATATGTCATGATGTTGATTAAAGGAACTGAAGGATATTTCCATCGAGCATTTTCAGTTTTAGTTGCTCTATTGGTGTGTGAGGTTGTGTGTGTATTTAATTTGGTTTGTTGTTTACCTAGACGCGTTTAGAGCCAGCTTGAGTTGTTAGATGTCTTCTAGTAAGGGAGCTCACTGTTTTGACACAGTCATCAACTGCTTGGTATTTTTATATAGAGGAAATGGCCAACTCTAAACAGACAGCTCTTTGCGTCACACTTTGTAAGTAGTGTAATGTGTAGCTCTGCACTCTTCCAAGCTGTTTTAATTTAAAATTAAGTGTATGTAAAACCGAGAGCATGCTGACCTGCATAAACATGACAGTAAAGTGAAATGTATCTTAAACATAAAAACAAGCACGTTTAAACAGGAGGTCACAGAAAGTGTGTCATTTAAGATTTTTGATCAAATTATGTCATTTGTTTTATAATGATCTTTGGAGTTTTATTGTTCATGTTTTATTGTTATGTAGCTTTATTGTTCACTTGAGGTCATTTACTGGTTTACAGTGAGAACTACAGGGGTTTTTAAGTCAGTTTGGGTCATATTGTAATATATAACTTGAGCAATACTGTCACACACACAAACAACAAACATTTTCCTAGTCAGACATACATCAGATAAGTTTCATGAAGCTCTCTTATAGTTCAAGGTGGAGGTCTCTAGTTTCGCCCCTCCAGAAATACAACATTATGTCTCAAAATAAAAATGGAGAGAAAAGGAGGCTTTCCAAATGGTTGGACTATGGCAGTATCAATGGGGAAGGACAGTCGGATCCGTGTCCTACCTGCCAGGGCACAGGACGCATCCCGAGAGGTAAGTTTCAGTGACATTAAATATTTCTATCTATTTGGTTAGAAACACGTGAGTTCAGGCCTTTAAAAACTTTAAAAGACTTTTATTCTGTCTGTCTTATCTTGACATCCTCAGGTCAGGAGAACCAACTTGTGGCCGTCATTCCTTGCAGTGATCAAAGGCTGAAACCTCATCACACGTCAGTATCATGATGACATGCAGCTTAGACTTCTGCAATATCAGTTCCAGGATTAATGTTCTTTATGTTGACATTCTCCCACAGGAAGCTGTATGTGTGTATATCGGTGGGGCTTTGCCTCCTGATCTGCTCACTGATCCTGTTTTTCCTCTTTCCCCGGAGCATGGATATGTCAGCTGTGGAGCTACAGTCATCCATGGTCTATTTCACTCCAGATTCCGTTAAAATTGTGGTCACGGTAGGTTATCTGATGTATAAATGACACAAAGGTTTGTCTGTTGTATTGCACTTGTTTTGTATATAAGGCTTGTAATGCTATGAATTTATGATCCATTCTCTAGCACCAAATGAACCTGACCAACCAAAACTTTGTCAGTATCACAGCTAATAATCTTAGCGTGCAAGCGCTGATTTTTGAGACTGTGGTAGGCAAGACCAAGTTCCCCAATGTCACCGTATTGCCTCCTCGATCCCAGAAAACGGTAATGCTTTAGTATTCAAGTAAATGGTAAAGCATTTTTCAAGTTAAAAATGTTTTCAAATCTTTCATACTGAGAGTTTCCATGGCTCATGGGATTTCTGCAATATTATAGAATTTTAAATAGTTAGTTCCAGACATTGAAAGTCTGAGTCACTACAGAGTATCCGCAGAGTCTTAAATCTCAAAAGCTAAATTTTAGGCATTAAAAAGTCTTAAATCTATTGAAATATTGTGTTGTAGGTATTACATTTTTACAGGTCTTAATTTTTCTTTGTTCATGCATAGCTACCCAGCCTGGCCATCAACATCCATATAGTACAATCCCAATCTCAGTAAAACTTTTAACTTTTTATTTAAAGAGAGAATTTAATGATTTTCCTTACAGTAACATTTGTTTAAAAATTTTCTTTTAATACTGCTGAAGATACTAACCTGACCTACATTTTTTATTAAATTATAATTTTTGTACAGTTAAATGTATTAAATTATAATCATTTTTGATAGGGCAAGTGAAAATCTTTTCCAACTGGAATATTTGAATAAAATCCATATCAATTTGCCCGTTATAAGTCTAAAATTTCATTCATAATGGTCTTAAAAAGACCTATATACTGTAGAACTTGGTGAAACCTGCAGAAACCCTGATTTACTTATTTATATTTATCAGGGATCTTTGTTTGTTGTTTTAAATTTTAGTTTCCATTCATCAAAAAATTATACCATATTTCAAATCCTGTTGTTATGGTTAAGCTATTTTTTAGCTCCAATTTTACTAATTTCATCTGGTAATCACTTAGGTCAAATTCAGTCCCCAGAATATCCTTTTAATTAGGACTAACATATCACACTACTATGTCTGTTTTTTTTTTTATTCTTTTAAAACCCGTTTAACACATTTTAATAGTTTTTTTTTTTATCTGTTTTTCTTCATTTTTGTTCTTCGTTGTTTTCCTTTTTTTACTTGTTTCTTTTATTTCTGTTTATGTAAAGCACTTTGAATTACCATTGTGTATGAAATGTGCAATATAAATAAACTTGCCTCACCTAACATGTAGGGATAATCTAAATTTTAGGAGCTTTGGCTTCAAAATGCCCAGACCACTTTTCTCATTGAACTATCAAATATGGGAGAGGGAGAAGTTCACAGCCTTAAAAACAGTATGTACCTCACATTTAAAAGATAAATCTGAGGTAAATTTTCCCTTGTTGTTGTCATGGTGGCTATTAAAACCGTTTCAGTATCACAGACTGTTTTTCTATTCAATATAGGTCATGGAAATTCAGCTTTTTAATCAGTAAAAAGTTAAGGGAATTTGATATTTTGGAGTGGGAATCCTGTACACTACACATAGAAAACCTAGGAAGAAAACATCCTTGAGGCTCTGATAATGACAATTTGTCTCTCATCTTTCAGATTAAAGTTATAGCTGACATACTTATCGATGACACAGGCCTGAAGTAAGTAATGCTTTTTTTATCTCTTCTAGTCTGTTTCTAAATTTCATAATTCAATCTTTTAAACATTGTAACATATTTGACATTATGCAAATTTCTAAAAACACATTTAAATACTCTTCTTTTACAGTAATTACTGCAAGTCAAGTGCCTTTCAGATTCACACCTTATTCTTGCATTTGCAGTAAGTACTCATTTTTAGCCTGAAAAAGTTGAATCATTGAACACTGATTGTCAGCTTGGGTTGTTTGGTTGTTCTTTAGTAATTCAACAAACAAGTTCTTACATAAACAGATCTCTATCTTAGACATTTGAAGATATTTGTGTACCAGAAAAATAAGGGAGCCACTAGAGGACTTTAGCAATCTACTAAAGGGGAACCTGGATATTGATTCAGGCCCCTAACCACTATTTTAGACGTGACA